TGAATTGGAATGAATCGACTTACTTGTGGGACGAATCAACATGTAGAACGAATGTGAATTGAAAGAAAAATGACTGTAAATCCGTACAATACGTATGATATAAACCCAGAATCACGGAGTAGATATTGTTTATTTTCCTTCAGGTTTCTATGTATATTTAGTGCTGATAGCTGACCACCAGATGGCAAACACTTGCCACTATGCTGTATTTCATCATCCTGTCGAATTGGCTGGTCGCGTACATCTTCGTCAAGCCAGAATTTTAAAATTATATATAATTTGATATGCAATTTGCTGTAACGATAGAGGACGTAGTTTCGATCGGTACGGCTCGGGCCCCAACTCCATCTCCGATAAACCGATGCCGTGTAAAATTGTAAATGAAAGATAATAAATTAAAACTATTCCCCTCCAAAAATAAAAACAACAACAATATAATATTATAAACCTCATTGAAATAAATAAATAGAACAATTACCTCGTTAATTTTAATGACGTCCACATTCTTGTTGTGTAACTTTTCTTAGAACCAACATGTAGTCTTTCATTGAAATGATCAACTAAAATAGTTTTACCCAGGTAGTCATGGTAACATGCAACTACAAAACCCCATAATAGTGTAAAATAAACTGTAATTGCAGACTTCGTCAGGTCATAAATCGAAGTTGCTGTCCTCCGAGTCGCGAACGCAATCAACAAATCACGTCACATCAGTAAAACTTAAAATAATCATTGGAACTCATTTTATATACATCAAAGTGAAACTGCTATTATAGCGAATAATGTTATACAATTACTGTAGTAGGAGCAAAGAGAATATATCAAATAACAATTTCCAAATGTTCCGTATGAAATGGTTGTATCTTTATCATAACCTCTAAACTCAGGGCTAAGCCGGCATGGTGGGGTTATTTATTTTTGGTGCCGAAATTATGAGTGCTGTAAGTTATCACCAACACTATGCAATGTCGTCTCAGTTGTTGTTTGTTTTTAGATTAGTTTTGCATGATTGAATTTGACTTTCTGATATTACCGGTATAAAACTGTTGTTTTGTTGACAATGTACGTGTTCTTTTCAACTATATTCCTGTTTATTCTACTTGGAATCGTTTTGCGAAATATGCGTTTAAAACCGGGAGGAAAAACTAAAACCATAGTCATCTATAGAATCTATGATAAAACCTGATGTTCGTTAGACTTGCATACAGTCCCTTGTTTATTTTTTGTTGTTTTCTCAATAAAATAACTTGTTGTTGGAGTGTAAATGGCGAAAGAAAAGTTACCGCGAAAGTCGGATGAATCAAATTTTAACGAACAGTTGGAACTTAGAAAAACTTATATGGCTGTGCGATTGGCACTGTAATAATTCGCATATTGTTATCACGTTCCCCGTAAACACTGACAGATCTGCCAATGGTGATCTGCAGGTGGCAAACTATCCACACATTACGTAACACTGTACGGAAACAAATATTTACCAATGCTTTTCAAAATAAACATAAAATGTACTGTAATAATATTAATACAGTCTATATTTATTAGACATAACACGTTATAAAAGTAATATAACGAGGCGGAAATCTTGAATCTTGATCTTTTTCTGAGAGAACAAAACCAAATCACATCACAGTCCCTAATACAAAAAAAGATCCACCACAAAGACCGTAGTAGAGAACTCGTTACCATAGAAACAATGAAATTGTGGTTGCATTCAGTCATACTTTGGTGGCTATTTTCAGTTGGAAATTGGTCAAAAATACATAAAACTGTAATTCATAATTTTAAAATTAGTTCTGGTAATTTTGGAGAGATAAACGTTCCAGAAAATTCCTAAGAATATTAGATGTGTCCGTAGAGATATATTAAGGTGAATAAAGTGCATGTGTATGGTTACCTAGAGATTCACTAACGTAGTTATTACGGTATGAATGTTGTTATCGTACAACACGTTGAAAGCGTTGAGAGAAAGCATTATAAATTCAATTACCGAAATATAGGCCATTGTGCCGTGATCACCGTCCTTCAACGAAGGGACGGTGGCCGTGACCAATAAAGTTGGAAAGTAGTTTTTCAACATTTTATAGTCATGAGTGATTTCAGGTAAAAATAAAGTAAGTTTCTGAAAATAGTAAATAGTGCCCAACACAGATTTAGTACAGCGATTCGTGGTTGGTCTTTCTATCTTCCATGGCTACAATTGCAGCACATGTTGATTTGATGAGTTTTATAATGGGTTTCTTATAAATTTATTCGATCGTTTGAGGAGTAAGAACTTCAAATATGGCACAATATGCGTAGTACACGGGGATAACAACTTTTAGTTCATGAAGGACATTCGTATAACCATGGAAGGTAATAGGGCTACTACCTTCCATTGAATAAGTTAACTTATTTTATATAATATAATAATAAATGTATTCATAATACTGTAGGCCTCCGGCCTCAAGGTATACTCATTGTAATTATATAAAATGTTACAGAGGACAATGTCATTTTACAGTGACTGAAAAAGAACAAGAAAATATGAAAAGAACATGAACTATCAGACCAAAATAATTGTATTACGTTTTTTGTGGCGAGAAAAATAAATTTAGAAATGTTACGCAAGATTACTGCATTTTGTAATTGTAATAGTGATATAAATTTTTCGGGTGAGGGAAGTGTATAATAATAACTTGGGATGTATTTCGATCTCACTCTTGGTAAA